TAAGTAAACAACCCCATTTACATTAACGTCAAAGACACATAAAATACTTAGGAATACATTTAACCAAAAAAAAGTTCAAAGTTTATAGTCTGCAAAATACAAAATATTTGTTAGAAGAAACTAAAGAAGATCTAAATACATGGGAAAACATCCCATGTTCATGTGTTTATGGATCAGAAGCATTGTTATGCATTGTTGAAAAGACAATACCCCTCATGTTTATCTAGAGTTGCAAAAAATTCCCTCTCAGAGTCCCAACTGACTTCTTCCTAAAAACTGAAAGGTGATTCTAAAATTCATATGAAATTGCAAGGGACCTGAAATAGTCAAAACAATAGCAGAGTTTTACCCTGTTTTTCCTCATAATAATGAGCATGTTTTCTGGGGTTTGATTTCCAGTTTTGCCACTTGCCAGCTATGTTGTCCAGGTCTCAATGTCCTCATTACATAGAGGTGTTTTAGGAATTATATAAGTTAATACATAGAGGGGCGCCTGGGTGGCTCAGTTGGTTAAGCGACTGCCTTCGGCTCAGGTCATGATCCTGGAGTCCCTGGATCGAGTCCCGCATCGGGCTCCCTGCTTGGCAGGGAGTCTGCTTCTCCCTCTGACCCTCCCCCCTCTCACGTGCTCTCTCTCATTCTCTCTCTCAAATAAATAAATAAAATCTTTAAAAAAAAAAGTTAATACATAGAAAGTGCTTACAGAAGCATTGGCACATTGTACACCTTGATTTTGTCTTAGTTATTATTATTATCATCACCTCATAGGGGTATTGTGAAGCTCAAAAAAGATAATGTGTATGAAACTTTTTGTAATGTACTGCTATTATCATTTTGTATTATAGTGACATGTGTATCCACCATCCTTATAGAGTATAGAAGAACACAGACTATTAATTTTTAATGGCCTACATTGCACATAATAAATGCTCAGAAATTCATATTTTAGTTAACTGTTACTTTTATGATCAAATCACTAAGGACTTTCGATTATGCTAGGAATAAAATCTAAGTATCATTGCATCAAGACCCCTCTCAATCTTGCTATAAAATACAGATCCCCTTATGTCTTCCGCTCTATCACTGGTCTTGAAAGTGGAGTCACGATGGACCATTCATTGCAGTGTGGGAGGAAAATTTTAGAAATTCTAACTACATGTAGTTTTTATCTCATCCTTTGTGAATTTTCTTCTGTTTTAAATATATCTTTATTAATGCATGCAAAAATATTAGGAAATGCTCTAATATGTAAATAAATGCTAAATGGATATTGGAAGTGTAGGTTCAAAAAATTTTCACTGGAAATCAGTGCGCTATCCCACAATGTGGTCTTTCTCCTAGCGCCAAGCAGATCTATTCAACTCCTTCTAGGACACAGCTTATATTTTTCTGTTCCCAAATCTAGCTCACAACCAGTCTGTTTGTTTTGAATGACAGTATGGCAGCCACTCCTTTTCAAGCTGCAACTTGCATACTTCACACCAAGACTAAACTATCACCAAAGGAAAACTTCTTTAAAGAAGGGTCTACGCCTCGTCCATCATGGTATCTACCTTGAAGCCCCTACCACTTTACCACACAAAAGCGTTTTCCATAATAACAGGCTCCAAAGAGATGTTTGTTTCACGCATAAGCTAACACGATATTGCTATCAAGAGGCAGGAGAGTGTGCTGGTTAACAGCAAAGGCTCATATCTGGGTTCTGCCCCTTACAAACTGGCCGGCCACAAGCCTCAGCTTCTTCCTCTGTGAAATAAAAGTAATAAGAGTACCTCTCTTACAGGCATATTGTGAAAGTGTATTTGGCTAGTACCTGGAACAAAACAAGCGCTTCATAAATGTTAGTATTATTATGGTCTTCCTGAGACTCAAACCCAGTAATGTCTGTAAAGCCTCCAGTACACACTGAGTGAATAAGGGGACTGAATTTTCTCTACCAGCCATGTTGACATGAATAATCTGTGGTGACTTCTTTCTCCTTCCTTCTAATTTATCACCTCATATTTATAGACAACTTTCTTGAGACCGTCATGGCACGGTTCACTTGAATTGATTAGTTCATATACTCTTCCACGTCTTATGAATTAATCTCTTAAGAAGAGTAACCATGTTTTTTTGCTTTGGGTTTTGTTGCTGTTTGTGTAAGATTTATTTATTTATTTGAGAGAGAGAGAGAGAGAGAGTGGGGAAGAGGGGAGATGGAAAAGGAGAGGGAGAGAGTCAAGCAGACTCTGCACTGAGTGCTGAGCCCACGCGGGGCTTGTTCTCACAATCTTGTGATCATGACCTGAGCCAAACCAAGAGTTGGCCTCTTAACCAACTGCGCCACCCAGGCACCAACAGGTATTGTTTTAACAGTATCATTGTTGCTGCTGTTGTTTTTGTTGCTGTTGTGCATTTTAACGAGATAAACTCTACATTTCCAAAAATTGTGCTATGAATCTGGTAGACAAAACTCTCCTTTTGGATTCCAATAGCAATTTTCTTTGCAGTTTTATGCACATATAGTTATTTAAAAGTGTTGTAGGACTAACACTAGTTGATTCTTTGCCTAGGTAATAAAATTAAATAAAAGCATTATCTTGACTCAAAAACATTAATTTAGTAGCATTAATTAATGCAGCAAATGTCAACTGTCAAAACTTCATGAAATGCAAAGTGGGATAACTGCCATTTAGTGTACACTTTTTTCCTTGTCAATGGGCAAAATCAGGGACCTCTGTGGTCCCTGTTCAATATTATCTTGGGGCGCCTGGGTGGCTCAGTCGGTTAAGCATCTGCCTTCAGCTCAGTCATGATCCCAGGGTCCTGGGATTGAGCCCCACATTGGACTCTCTGCTCAGTGGGAGCCTGCTTCTCCCTCTCCCTGCTTCTCCCTCTCCCTGCCGCTCCCCCTGCTTGTACTCTCTCTCTGTCAAATAAATAAATAAAATCTTTTAAAAAATATATTATCTTGAATTTCCCATATCCCTTCAAGAGTTGGAACAATGAATTTCCCAAAGTGTCATGCCACTTGAGTATAAGTATGTGGAGAAGATGATAGTGGAATGGCGGGAGGGGGCAGATTAGACAATTTCTTCCATCTTATGAACATTTGAGAGGGTTTTCCTTTGCCCTTTAAGACTTCAAGAACTGATTATCTTTTAAATCAACACATCCCATTATGTTGATACAGCTATTAGATTGTAAAAAAATTATTTTTGTAGGTGACATAATTGTGTAGAAAATCCCAAGGGATCAACAACAAGAACAACAACTCCTGGAACTAATAAGTAATTATAGTAAGGTTTCACGATACAAGGTTAATATACAAAAGCCAATTGCTTTCCTATATATCTGCAAGGGACAATTGGAATCTAAAATTCAAAACACAACACTATTTACAATAGCACCCTAGGTATAGATCTAAGAAAATGTAAACAGGATCTATATGAGGAAAAATATAAACTGAAGAAAGAAATCAAAGAAAGATCTAAATAAATGGAAATATATTTCCCTATAAGAAGACTTAGTATTGTTAAGATGTCAGCTTAGATGTGAATTCAGATACCTCACTGATCAATATAGACAGATGGCAATAAAGTATACGAAAAGATATTCAACATCCTATGACTTTAGGGAACTGTTGATTAAAACAACAATGAGATGCCATGACACACCTATTTGAATGGCTAAAATTCAAAACATGGACAACACCAAATACCGGTGAGAATGGGAGGCATCAGGAACTCTCATCCATTGCTGGTGAAAATGCAAAATGGTACTATCATTTTGGAGGACACTTGGATAGTTTTATATAAAACTAAACATAGTCTTACCATATGATCCAGCAATCACTCTCCTAGATATTTATCCAAGTGAGTTGAAAACGTATGTCCATACAGAACCCTGCACACGAATGCTTCTAGTTTTATTCATAATTGCCAAAAATAGGAAGCAACCAAGACATGTCCTTCAATCAGTGAACAGAAAAACAAACTGTGGTACACCCACTCAATGGAATTTTATTGAGCAATAAAAGAAATGAACTATTAAGCCACAAAAAATCATGGAGGAACCTTAAATATACATTGCCAAGTGAAAGAATCCAGTCTAAAAAAGCTATATACTGCATGATTCCAACTATATGACATTCTAGAAAGGCGAAAGTATAGAGACCATAAACGGACTGGTGGTTGCCATGCATTCAAAGGGAGGGGAAGAGGGGGGATAAATAAGCGGAGCACAAAGGATTTTTAAGGGCAGTGAAACTATTCTGTATGATACTTTAATGGTGGATACATGACCCTACATTTGCTAAAACCCAAAGAACTGTACAACACAAAAGCTGAACCCTAATGTCAGCTATGGACCTTAATTAATAATAATGTATCAATATTGGTTCATCAATTTAACAAATGTACCACACAAATGGACCACACAAATGCAAGATGTTAATAATAGGGGAAACTGTACAGAGGACGAGTGGGTATATGGTAATTCTCTACTTTCTGCAAACTTAAAACTACTCTAAGATATAAATTATATTGTAAAAAAAGTCCATAGTAAATTAAAAAATTAATTCACAGCAAATTACATATATACATGTGTATAAAAATACCTATATAATGCATATGCATGTACACACATTCAGATGAAATAACTATACATCTTTTTTTAATGATAGTTTTTTGATATTGTATTCTGTTATTTTCCCTCTTCTATTACAATGCTTCTACAGGGACTGTCATCAGGAAGTGAGGAAATGCAGGTAGTTGTGCTAAATTATGCTTACAAGAAATGTGGTAGTGAAGGAAACTGAGAGGAAATGGATAGCTGTGGGAATCTGAAGGCCTACTAAAGAATTATTTTAAAAAGATATAATGATGCCAACTATAAAAATAGGTAGTTAGTAGCTCTTTAAATTTTGCTCTTTAGTTATTTCACTTTCTTTCAAGGAATACAGACAGATACTTGAATATGAAACTGTTAAAATGTGAGGAAAACAAACAAGCACATACCAAGTCATTGATGCTGATCATTAGAACGTGCTGATACTCTCTGCCGTCTTTACCTTCAATATCACAATCGGATGATGCTACTGGCAACAGAACAAGGATCAGGGGAGGAATTCCAAAGATATACCTAAAAGAAACTAAATTGAACAGTGAGTAAGAATAAGCTGAATGTTGTAAGTCATATTATATCGTTTGTGTTGTTTCAATCAGCCTGACCATTTATTTCTAGTAACTTTTTGAAATGCACCTTGGCTTTTGGATAGTGTGGGAAGACCCTAAAATTCAGTATTATGTAACAACCAAGGTAGGGCTGCATTTTAGAGTTTAGATTTCTTTTATTTTTTTACTTAAAAATTACTGTTTGGAAAAGCACTGAACAGGTGTGATGAAAGCAGACTCTCTGCCTTTGAATAACACTCTAGGGTATAAATTAGTTTATTCAGTTTTGATTTATATTGAACATTCCTACAAGAAAAGGCATCTACAGGTAAACAGGTAAACTACAGGTAAAAAAAAGTTACACATTTTTGAAATTTTATGATTTATGGCATGTATATTTATGTAAACCTTGATGATTGTCCAAGTACCCAGCCTCTTCCTGGAGGCAGCACTGCACCTTTATTTCCATGGTACTGTGATTATATTCTTTCTTTTTAATGATGGACCTTAAAGGGTTAACCCTTCCCAGAACTGTGACAAAGTTGACATTTACATTTTGACACTCTATCTTTTCAGTATATTCTTTGTTTCTATGTGTCCAGAGACCCATATTTTCTACAAACACAGCTTTGTCTAGCTTCTTGACATGTTAGAAAAACCCATTAAATAACTTCACACCCTGGTAACTAATGATTTATATCTGTTTTTGATAAGCCTTCCTACTTAGAGGCATTTGTCTAATCGAAAGGAATGAAATTATAAATGGTATCATTTCAGGCAGTAATAATGCACTGATGGAGAGCCCGTTATTCCCAGAGACATTAAAATGTGGTTATATAAGTCTGCCAAAATGTCTTGTTTGTATCTTTCTGCAAATTCTTGAGTTACGTTGACAATATATCTCCTTTTAATTTTCCAAATGAAGTTTAACTGTACTTGATGAGTGCAAGACATTCCACACCTGTGTCTTTTTTGTTAGGACTACAAACAATACTCTTTGGAACCCAAGGAACTAATATTGTGACATATGTTAAATACATCATAAAGTTCCCAATAATATTATCTTCTATTGTATCATTATCTGTCATATAAAAGTCAGTAGCACTCCCCAATAAATGATGAGCTGTTTGTTACCCATATTTTTACAAATAGAGAAAGCAGGCTAAATATCAGGTATGAGAACAAACACAAATCTCATCTCCATATATCATGGACACTTGACAAAGTAAGAGAAACAAAATAAGACATGGAATTGATTCATAGCTGCCATTAAGAGTCTATACACATACCCGCAAAATTCACTTAGGAGATTAATGATGATGATGATGATAGTTATGTTGGAGTACCCATCATGTGCTAAGCACTTTGTTACCTTATACCTATCTGTAAAGATCAAAAGAGTCCTACAAATTGATCTTTTGTAAAAACCAGATAATAGGTGCCAGGTCTGGATTCTAACCTGAGTTTACTGCCTCACCAGAAATGGTCATAATCTTTTGATAACATGTAATTACTTTAGTCCTCTGAATGAAACCACTTCTATGTAATATTACATAGCTCTACCTCTCTCTTGTACTATTGCTCCTTCATCCTGAAGATTCTCAAAGAAGAGTCAATTGCTATTTATTTACTAGATCCTGACTTTGTAATTGGATTTGTACAGACTGCATAGATCCAAACTTCATTTTCTCTGTCTTCTCACAGGTGTCCAAAAAGGAACACTTTGGAAAGAGTAGATGATAATTTATATAGCATATCACTTGAAATGAGTTTTAAGGGGAATATAATAAAATAAATACTAGAATGAAAAAAGAGACCTTTTTTTATTCTACATAAATGTTATTTTAAAGGTCCATCTTTTATGTTTTGACAAAGGAGGTTGTTTTATTTTCTATGAGCACTACCTGTTGTGTCCTCTTCACCCCAACTTTTAGTAAGTGCTCCCCAAGTTCATATCGATCCATTTATTCATTGCATGACATTTACCAGTGCTTTCAATGGTGGCTTGGTAGAAAACTTAGTCTTTTTCATGTATTACAACTAGTTTCTCAATCCTGAAACTTAATTTTCCTTGGGGCACCTGGGTGGCTCAGTCGGTTAAGTCTCTGACTCTTGATTTCTGCTCAGGTCATGATCTCAGGGTCGTGCGATTGAGCCCCCCTTCAGGCTCTGAGCATGCAGTCTGCTTAAGATTCTCTTTCTCTCTCCCCCTCTGCCCCTGCCCTCTCTTGCATGTGCATTCTTTAAGTAAATAAATGAATGAATGAATGAATAAAATCTTTTTTAAAAAATGAAACATAATTTGCTTTGTCTAATAAGACAAAGCCATTGTTGCCATTGTTGTTAAATAGGCTAGCTCCAGATGGACTAAGCCAAAACAAAACACAGAGGGTTGGGGTATGGAGACTTGGGGTTTTTGTCTTGGTGTGACAAGGGGTTGTATGACAATGGGTTGTGTGACTAAGTGAATGACAGCATCTTTTAAGTTTAATTTAACTGATCTGTAAAATGAAAACTTTAGACTAAATGATCCTTTAATGTCCCTTTCAACTTTCAAGACCTTAATTCTAAGAATCTCCCTGGCCATCCCAATAAAGTATTTCTTTAGACTTGAAATTGCCTCATGGACAATACTGCAAACACACCCAGGGCTTCAGACCCACATCTCACATGCTCCCACCTCTCAAATTAACAACTGCAGTTTGGTCTGCAATTGAAGTCTTTTCTCCACACCATCCAGAGAATAAACATATTAATATTGCCTAGTTTGAGCATGCTTTTGACATTGTTGTCACAAGAGGAAAAAACTCTGCTTTTATTCTGTTTTGTTTCAGATTATGCATAGACATTCACCCCTTTCATGACCCTGAGCTTTTCTTTAAATTACAGAAAAGACAGACCATAAGAAATAATGCAAGGCAAGCTTGGGCCTGTGGAATTTTGTCTTTAGATTTCCTGAAGGGATTGAAACTGGAGAATTTGTTTCTCAACAGGGAATTTGGTTACACCAGAATGATGGCTGTCTAAAAAAAAAAATTCTTGTTGGTTTTTAATTTAAGCCAAATAATACATTCAATCCTCAGCTGCATAAGTTATGGGGTCAAAGTGAACATAAATTAGTTTCTACAGCCTATCAAATGCAATCTTTCATCCCTCTTTAAGACAAGTAAGTGCTTATTGAATGTCCACTATAAACATTTCATAGACCCATTTTCACTGGGAATTAAAAGAAATACTCAAAAGATATTCAGGATGGAATAGAAAACATTATCTGAATTCTGAATATATAATATGACTTGGCTTTAATATGAACAATCAGCACAAGCAATTATGCACAATTGGCAATTTGTGCATAAAGAGAAGAAAAAGTTAATAAACAGAAAACAACCATGAGTTGTATGGAAATCAGCTCGTTAAGATTACAAACATAAATTTGATTATACTCATATAAATAAATCTAATTTCTGCCACAATCAATATTAACACTGCTCCGTAAACTCTATCCACAAATCCCATGATAAACACTTAAAGACATTTCTGCAGCCATCCTATGAGACTGCATGCAATATTTCATTTAATCTCATAACCACTTCAGGAGGTAAGTACTACCAATTATTCATATTCTGAAAATGGAGAATCTAAGGAACAAAGAAACTTTCCCCCCATATATAACATGTATAGTATGAGACAGGTTAAAGAGTTTAGAAACTCAGCTTTTAGCCACTGAGCTGAACTGCTTCCTACAAAAACAAGCGTGTGTGCGTGTGTGTGTGTGCAGTCAAGGGAATGTACAAAAACCCATCTTTTTCCACATGAACCCCACTAAGGTGCTTCCTGGTCAAGCTCTGAAACACTGCATCATACACTCCTATTTCAAGAAAAACAGACACTAGATATTTGCTCCTATGACACCAGGTTATGTGTCAGAGGTTAGACCAGAAAAAATAATCTCATGTGCATGAATGTGAATATGACATATAAATGGATCCTATAAAATAGTTTTTTCCATTTTTGTTTAAGATACTGAAACACTGATGTGGTACCATGTGTGATTCTCCTTTGTACCTGTTCAGGCTTTCTCATCTTTCTCGGTTCCCTGTTTTTATTACTATTCCATTTTTGGTCCTCAAACGTGATTAAATTATCTAAACTAGATAGTACCCTTGAGAACCACATAGTAGGGCCTCAACTACTTCAACTCCCCAGAGAAGCAGCAAAGGAAAAGTTTAAAGAGTAACTCTATCCTTAAGCTTCTTGTAAAATCTCTTGGAAATGCAAAAGCCACACATTATAATCACTATTTTTATCAGAAGTTTAGAATTCTAATGTTTTGTTTGCAAATAGCTTTTGGTAGGTGAATAATATAGATACACTTCAGGAAATAAAGCTCCTTGTTAATAATGCACATCCTCGCTTTCTTTGTTTTTGTTTTTTAACCTCGCCATTTCAAATCAGAGCTGATGCAGGGATTAGAACCAAGAGCTACAGGAAAGAAATAATTGCAGGAGATCCACGGCATTTGGAGGCAGATAGGGATATACCTAATTTCTAATTCTATACAAAACTTCTGGAGGGCACCCATTACAAATCTTTTTCCATAATCGTCTTCCATACTCTACCCACCCCACCCGCTTTATGTTGTTACTGATCTGGTACTTCTTGGCTATGCCAAGTCAAGATTCTTTAATACCTATGAGGGAGGAAAGGCTCTTTTGATCTAACGGTGTAGCCTGCAAAGCGCACGCACAGGCCAGGCATGAAACGGAAGAGCAATTTGCTCCCTATTCCCGCACCCTCCTCCACCACCACCCCCCTTTTTTTTTTGCATGAGGAAGTATTTACTATAAAATATTCTAATTTCCCTCACTAGATCTTCGCCCCTCACATCTCCTTTTCTCCTTTTTTTCCCATCCAGTAAACTTTTTGGCTCTTTCCCTTGGCCGTATGGGAATCCAGCTCGCTCGCCTCAGCTCTGCCCTTGTCCGTAGTCCACACGAATAAAAATATATTAGATCTCGGCCAAGGTCTAGAATTTAGACTCAAGCCTATTTAATCCTGCCTCCACCAAGGAGCACCCAAATAGGAAAAAACAGAAACCCGAAACTCGCCTTTCTCGGTGCCAGCCCGAGGACTTGGGTTCCCGGCAAAGGGCACGAGGTACTGCCCCAGTCGGAAACTCCCAGCCTCGCTGAGGGGGCGAAACGGGGCTTTCCAGAGACCTGTCCCCATAGAGTTTAAAAGCGCGTCCCGTGGGAGCTTCGCTTTCACTTCTCTAGAGAGTAGGGAACTGCACGAGCTCAGGTAACTGGCCCCTCCCCGGGCATCAGTGAGTAATTGGGCGCCGCCAGGAGCACGGGTACGGCGGGCAGGGCGCCGGGTTGACAGAGGGCAGCGCTGGCTCGGGAAGACTGACGGCGAGCCACTGGCTACCTCTGAGACCTGGTTGCGGGCTCCACCGCTGAGCAGCGCGGACGCTGCAGCGCCGCGTCTCGGGACGCAAAGGCGGCGTCGGGGACGGCTTCTCGCCGTGGGCTAGGCGCAGCAGTCCCGACTGCAAGTGGCGGCTGTGGGCCAGGGTGCCGAAGCGCGGCTGACGCCTGCCGGTGGGAGAGCCAGTGCTCTCGGCAGGTCCAAAGTACAAGGCTCGGCTGTTCCCGGACGCGCCTGGGCGCGGGGCCCGGCGACGCGTCCTGGAGTTCCCCCGGCGTGCCGGGCGCGCGGACTGGTGCGCCTGGGAGAGGAGCGCTTACCATGGAACATGGTCTGCGGGAGGCGGGCGTGGTCATGATGACCGCAACTGCAGCAGGAGCAAGCTCTCACCGCCCATAGTCGCTGCCAGAACCCTGGTCTTCCGCGGAGTTGCCGGGAGTCCGTGCCGGGTAGGGCGGCCTCTGCCGCTGGTTCCTCTCACCCACGCCGCGCCTGCTGCTTCATCCATCCCAAGGGGGGCGGCACACACCACGGCCCGGCTCTGCGCTTTGCCTTTCCCATAACTTCCGTAGGATCAGCCGGCAGTGTACTTTCAGTTTCTACTTTGCGCCGGGTCTGCAGGTTTGATCTTTGGGTTCACCACGGAGGTGCCTGCACCGCCCCACCTCTCTTGAGCACCTGCGTCCTCCCCTAGCTCTTCTTGTGCACCTGAACCGGGACCAGAGGAGGGCGCGAATCTCCAAAGCACCACCCACAGGAGGAATGAGCTGGCCTTCTGAATGAGAACAATTCGAGGCAAAAGACTTTCCAAATGACCTCTAACCGTCTTGGCAAAGCTAGGCGACAGGGATCTAAATGTATTGGTTGCTAATCTGTGGAAGCCACAAACGTGTAGGGCGAAAGCTGGGCAATTGCAAGCCTACGCCACCAAGGAGGCGTCGCAGGTCTTGCCACGGATGTAGTGGACGATGCCAAGTCGTCTCGAAAAAAAAGAAAAAGGAAGTAAAGAAAGATTAAAAGGGTCACGCCCTCCGCCCCTCAAACTCTGTAATCAGTCTTTTTCTGCCCTGTGTTTTGTAGATGCACCTGCCCAGGTGAGACCTCAAAGAAAAATAATCCTGTGGGTGCATCTAATCTGGTAAGTGGTATGTTTGGACCCGAAACACAAAGCCCAGATTAGGTGGAGAAAATGGAGACTGACTATAATAGTTGATAACTATGACTCCCACCTATGCATTTATCTGAATTGACCAATAAGTCATACTAACCATTTTTACTCTGTTTTACTGAGGAGTTAATTTTTTTTCTAAGCCTGAATTATTTTAGTATTTCCTGTTTGAATTTGTTTTCTGATATTCTGCAGGAACCCTGCTTAAAAGAAGGTGGGTAAAGTAGTAAGGGTGATGATGATAACAGCTATCATTTATCTAGCATTTGCTCTGTACTAATATTGTGCTAAGCATTATATATATATGTATATATATATATATATATATATATATATATATATTTCCTCTCATGCAAAATTTTCTATGAGTAGACACTTTCCTTATCCGCACTTCACAGATGTGGGAACTGAGACTTCCTTAAGTAACTTGCCAGAGTTCACTTAGCTGGTTAGTAACAGAGCTTGGACACAAACCTCCTGTATTCTGGCTCTAGAGTTCATGCTTGCAGCCTCTGTGTTAGCCGTCCTTGTGAACAATGTGGAAATTGATGCCCGGAGAGAGACAGGGTCAGGTATCATGTGGGTATGTCTTTGCCCCACTGTGGGGGACCTCAGGAAAGCTTTTTGGGGTTTCTGAGTTCTGAATTGAGACTCAGGCGGGAACTAACCTAGGGATGTGAACATTCCATATTCAGTTATAGTGTGAACAAAGAAAAGAGGAAAAGAAAGAAGGGAGAAAGAAGAGAGTAACAGTGAGAGTGAGACAGAGTTGCTCAAGCCTGAAGCTTGGATCTCCATTTCCTCTTTTAGTCTCACTTCTTACATCCTATCCATAGGCAAGTCTTGTCAACTCTACCTCTAAAATAAATCCTGAATCCAATCTGTCCACTCTGTGAATTGCACATGGGCAAACCATTAAAACCCTGCTGTCTGGGGGATCTTTCAGCTTTCACTCTTGCTTAGGACCCCTTCACTCTCCTCATAGCAGCAAGATATTTGATTTATGCAGTGCCATCTTCTGTGACCACCCTCTGGCCACTTGCCACTGTGCACCAAGCCTTTGAGGTTGTCCTGTGTGATCTGGGTGTTACTGTCTTCTCTGACCCCCTCTGGTACACGACTCACTCCGCTCCTGCTGTGTTCTTCCCTGTGCTCAGCCAAGCCTCTGTCCACTTAGAATAGTATCCAGTACACAGGTATTCAGAAAGTATTGTTGAGTGACAGAATGAGAGAGAACAACTGTATGAGAATGCATGAATGAGAACATGCATGAAGAGAAAATATGTAAAGGCAGAAGGGAAATAGAAGGAAAGGAGGGAAGGAGGAGGAGGAGGAGGAGGAGGGAAGCAAATGAGAACAGGAGACAGAATGGGGTGGGAAAAGTCAGGTATTTCCATTTGACTGGATCCTAGAGTGGGAGGTGGGGAGTGGAAAAACAGGAGTGACTTTTAAAAATGAATTCTATAACTAAACACAGCTAGATTGGTTATTTATTAGTTTAAAATCCCTGACAGCAGCATTGAGGTATGTAATTGCACACAGCCTGCACTTTTTTTTTTTTTTTGCACTTTTTTTTTTAAATACTTTTCAGGGACAGATAAAAGAGCATCCATCAATAACTTCCTCAAGAGGAAATCTGTCTTCCTTTTTCATGAAGTCACCATAAAACCCGGCAGAATAAGGGCTTATGCATAAGTGAACTTTTGGAAATCATGAAAGGAAATTATTCAGAGCTCCAGGAGAGGACATGTAAATTCTATCCTAAACTCTGACCCCAAATGTTATTTTTCTGTGTATGAGAGGATTAACAGCATTTTGAAAGAATTCCAAAATGAAGTCTTAAATTAGTGGTTGATATTTTTGATAAGCTAAACATTATTTTTTATAAGACAGATGGACAAGGATCAGGGACACCTGGGTGGCTCAGTCAGTTGGGCATCTGCCTTTGGCTCAGGTCATGATCTCAGGGTCCTGGGTTCGAGTCCCACATCAGGCTTCCTGTTCAGCTGGGGAGTCTGCTTCTCCCTCTGCCCCTCTTCCCTGCTCCTGTTCTCCCTCGCTCACACTCTCTCTCCCTCTCAAATAAATAAATAAAATCTTTTTTAAAAAAGACAGATGGACTAGGATTAAACATTCTATGAATTTTTATATGCTAATGCTTTATGCTTAGAGAAATGGAGTGGTTATTATATTATTATAATGTTCACTCATAGACTCAATGAATTGTGCAGAAAAGTCAACACAGAAACAAAACAGTACATAGTTGTGACTTACAACCAATACATATTAGGAGGGAAGACATCATCTCAGAATGATTTATACAATGTAATAGAAAACATTGAAATAAAATGATATAAATGTCTACTTAAAGGGAGAATTGTTAAAGATTCATCAATGTTTTTTTTAATTTTTTTCAATCTTCAGTCAAATTAGTCAATCAGTGGTAAACCTGAAAATATTTTCTTGATTAATTATCTGAACTATTTTTGCTCAACCTAATATGACTATTGTTTATAGTCTGAGATCTGAATGTTAGCTATCTTTCTGTCTATGGATATTTTTTGAGGTTCCTATGGTTTAATTTAATGGCTTAATTTTCCAGGCATAATACTCAACGTATTTCAAACATAGACACACACACAGACATACCACATACACATAAAGCCTCCACGTGTTCTATGCAGTCACACAGCAGCCTGTGCGTGGAAGGGCTCCTTGCTTGGTTTAATACTCTGCTGATCACTGTCTTGGAATTCTTAATTATTTTTGGACAAGGGGACTTTCATTTGCACTTTGCACTGGGCCCTGCAAATTCTGTAAATGATCATGCACACACATACATGCGTATCTTCAAGGTGGTTTCAGTCTGGTGGGGAAAACATATGTTAAATGTGTGACTTTAAAGATAAAGAATATTATGAAAAGGAAAGGATGAGATGTATTTCAAACAAGGGCTTAAGGCAATCTAGACCCATTTTAAAAATTAATGAAACTAGGACCCAAAAAAGGTTAATATACCTGTCTAGTGGAAAAAACAGCTATAAGTGGATAACTTATAATTCTAAATCATATCTGTTTGATTTTCAAGCCTGAGCTTGAGAATGGATTTTAAATTTTTATCAAATGACTGCTGAGAATCTATTTACAAGGTCATGTTTTTTCTTATTGTATTTTAAAGAAACTATAAATTTACCATAATGCTAAATTCAAGTTGCTGATATTTAACAGCCTTTTGCAATTTTATTTGTAATTGGTATAGGTCTGTTCTTTATATTATATTTAACTAGGCTTGGGCTATTTTGTCAGATTTTCTTAGTCTCATAAAGGGATTTGGAAATTCTATTGTTTTCTAAAACTGTATTTAATCATTATATGAACTATTTGTTTCTGGATGACTGACTAGAGTTTAACAATAAAACATACTTAATTTCATGGGATGCAGCCAAAGGATAGGATGAAACTGTCAGTTTGAAGCATTAGAAGAGTCAAAAGAAAAAATTTCCTTATAAGGCTGAATCAGAATATTAAGAACCCTGCCAAAAATGTGTATGGAGCTATGAAAATGAATGAAATCATCCAACTTAGAAGAGATGAGAGAGAGAGCTAATGCCAGGAGGGACCATGAGACACAAACATTAGGGGTAGTTGGAGAAATGGGTGCCCACCAGCAAACTGACAAATAGCGGACAGCAGACTAGGAGAGGCAGAAGTCAGTGTCCCAGGATAGAATTTCAAAATAGGTTAAGTAGTCAGAATCTCCAAATGTCACAAAAAGATCAAACAAAAGGAAGATTGAAACATGTGTCCACTGATGTGGCAGAGTAGAGATTGTCTGTGGTCCACATGACAGCAATTTGAGAAGAGCGGTATAGATAGAGACAATATTCCAGTTTGTGGAATACAAGGGAAGATGCAAAGAGAGGAGACAACTTTTAAAAGATCTGTGGTAAAGATAAAAGAAATAGGGTAATGGTTTGAAAGGCATGTAAAGCATAATGGAGGTTTCCGTTTCCATGCATGAGAGGTACTAGAGCGTATTTATATAATTATAATTCTAAACAATCAGAATCCATTATGAATCTGGTGCCTCATTTTATGTTTCTTATTGAAATGTCCCCTCTGACCTCACCTGCGTACTCTGGGTTGAGTATTGGCTAGTGTAAGAGAGAAATATTTCCCAAATTGTCTTTCACAAGGAGGAGCAGTATCTTATGTAGCTTGTATTGTCCAATCCTTTTTCACACTAATGGATATGTTTTTTGTCAATTAGAGTTTTCTTTTATATACTAAATTTTGGAGGGACTGTGCTTTTAATCATTGCCTTTATGGATGATTAATTAAAGAAGATTACACTTACGACAATTTGCTTCATGGAAATTATTTGAAGAAAATGGAAAAGTATTTTCCTTTATTACTTTAAAATCCCTGGACAGACCCCCTTTATAATAACATTCAGTTACTATGTGAAGATGTTGAGTTGTTCTTATGAGCTTTTTGGACAACAGCGACAGTGTCTTACTCAACCTGGAATTCTTTGAAGTCGACAGAATTACTTTCAAGTTACAAATTCTTCCCATGTATGACTTGTAGAAAAGGGAGATACCAGACTGCACAGGTCTTGACTTGCTGTTCTCACAGAGAATCAGTGCTCTGGGCAAACCTGTGTTAATATCCAAGAATGTTATAATAAAAACTACTGACTGACATTGATATGT